AGGCTATAAGAGGAGACAGGGTGTGTCCATGCTCCTACAGGTGTTCAGTGGTGTAGTTTGGTTCTGAATGTGTGTCTGCCTGAGTCCAAATCTCCCAGCTTTTCCAGCGAGCCGTGATGCCTCTCTGCAGTCTCTTCCTGGAGTTTCTTACGTTTTTACCCTCCTCCATCAAATTTCCCCTCTACAGAATTTCCATGTTAAAGGTAGTTTATTATTCTGTATCCTGACATCCAGTTAGGGGTTTGTGCCCCTCGGTGGCACTGAAATCACTCTATCTCATAGCATCATAATTCTGCTAAAAGTCAGAATTTGTTTTGTTTTGTTTTTTGTTTTTTGAGACAGAAGTTAGCTTCTGTTGCTCAGGCTGGAGTGCAATGGTGCGATCTCAGCTCACTACAACCACCTCTTCCTGGGTTCAAGTGATTCTCCTGTCTCAGCCTCCCAAGTAGCTGGGATTATAGGCATGTGCCACCACACCCAGCTAATTCTACATTTTTAGTAGAGAGGGGGTTTCTCCATGTTGGTCAGGCTGGTCTTGAACTCCCGACCTCAGGTGATCTGCCCATCTCAGCCTCCCAAAGTGCTGAAATTACAGGCATGAGCCACCATGCCTGGCCTGAATCATAGGATAGTTATATTTATAGTTAAGAAATTTTGGGTCAGGCGTGGTGGCTCACACCTGCAATCCCAGCATTTAGGGAGTCTGAGGCAGGCAAATCATTTGAGGTCAGGAGTTCCAGACCAGTCTGACCAACATGGCGTGACCCCATCTCTACTAAAAATACAAAAATTAGCCCGGCATGGTTGGGGGGTGCCTGTGGTCCCAGCTACTCAGGAGGCTGAGGCACGAGAATCACTTGAACCTGAGAGGCAGAGGTTGCAATGAGCTGAGATCACACTACTGCCCTACTGCCTGGGTGACAGAGTGAGACTCTGTCCCAAAAGGATAATAATAATAATAATAATATGCCAGTCACTCCTCTTAAAAATAAAATAAACAAACTTACAAATAATAAAAAAGTATCTTCCAGTGTATCTGACATCATTGAACTTGGCCTTCATTAATTTTATCAACATTTGTTCAGTCTCTCTCTCTCTCTCTCTCTCTCCTCTCTCTCTCTCTCTCTCTCTCTCTCTCTTTCTCTCAATTCACTTACTGCGCTATCTTTCCTCTTCTTGTCACCATCACTCACTCAGGCACAAGTTAAATGGCTCAGTGTCCTCCCAGCAGGTATGTGACGATGAAGTTAGATGTTTGGACCAGCGGATGCCACATAGAAGTACTAGGAATATGTCCTCCTGGCCCAAAGAAGAAAAGGGGATAAGTTGTAGGAACTGAGGGAATATGTACAATTTCTGGGCCAATCAGAAGTCAATTCCCCGAGCTCCTTGTTATGCAAACTGTCTAATTTCATCTCTATTCCCTGAACAGTTCTGTTTCCTCTGGGGGCTGGGACATGGCAGTAAGAACCATTTTATGTCTTCTTTGGGGTAAGATGCATGTTTCCTAACTTTCTCTGCACCCTCTCCTCCAGGAACAAATTCTCCTTGTCTTCTAAGCTCAGTCTTTCCAATGCCTAGGGCTTCTCCTATCAGACGTTTCCATTATCATTGGATGCCATTGTTTCTCCTCACTTAAAGAACTAAGAGGCCAGGCATGGTGGCTCACTCCTGTAATCCCAGCACTTTGGGAGGGCAAAGCGAGTGGATCACCTTAGGTCAGGAGTTTGAGACCAGCCTGGCCAACATGGTAAAACCTCATCACTACTAAAAATACAAAAATTAGCTGGGCATGATGGCAGGTGTCTATAATCCCAGCTAGTCGGGAAGCTGAGGCAGGAGAATCGCTTGAACCCAGAGGCAGAGGTTGCAGTGAACAGAGATCGCACCATTGCACTCCAGCCTGGGGGACAAGAGTGAGACTGAGTCCTATATAAAACAAAAAAGAATTAAGAAACACTTCAAGCATCTTCCCATGTTCACTCAGTGATCTGTCGCCAAGACACAGGGCTGGCTGCTTTCATCACTGAACTTCAACAGGGCAATTCTCTGCAAAGACCTTTTTCCCAAATAAGTAACATTCACCCTTTTGTCATATAAGCTCAGATTCAGGGCCAGGCACAGTGGCTGATGCCTGTAATCCCAGCACTTTGGGAGGCCAAGGTGGGAGGATCACTTGAGTCCAGGAGTTCAAGACCAGCCTGGCCAACATGGCAAAACCCTGCCTCTATTAAATACAAAAATTAGCTGGCCATGGTGGCAGGCACCTGTAATCTCAGCTACTTGGGAGGTGGAGGCAGGAGGATTGCTTGAACCCAGGAGACAGAGGTTGCAGTGACCCAAGATTTCGCCACTGCACTGCAGTCTGGGTGACAGGGTGAGACTCTGTCTCACAAGTGAATGAATGAATGAATGAAAGCTCAGATTCACAAGTGAGAGGATTAGAAGGTGGATATAGTCTTCTGAGGGCTACCAGGCAACTCATGACAGAAATGTGTTCTGGTTGACTACGTGAAAGTATCTATTATCAATGAATCCAGGAAAGGGTTCTCAGTTTTCTGTCTCTGGGAAACAGGTCTAGACGTGGCTGCTGCCTTGACTGACGCTACCTGGTGACTCAGGAAAACCATCCCTGCAGGAGGGCACCTCATAAAGGACTGAATGATGCCCTCTCCTATTCCTGCACATTTCCTAACTTGGAGGTTCTTGTTATGAAAGAGAACTGTCTTCACTATTTGAGCATATTACAGTTAGGGTTTCTATTTATTATTTATGTATGTATGTATTTATTTATTTAGTCTTGCTCTGTCTCCCAGGCTGGAGTGCAGTGGTGTGATCTTGGCTCACTGTAACCTCCACCTTCTGGGCTCAAGCAATTCTCCTGCTTCAGCCTCCCGAATAGCTGAGATTACAGGCTCCAGCCACCACGACTGGCTAATTTTTGTATTTTTGGCAGAGACGGGGGTTTCACCACATTGGGCAGGCTGGTCTCGAACTCCTGACCTCAAGTGATCCACGTGTCTCAGTCCCCCAAAGTGCTGGGAATACAGGCGTGAGCCACCATGCCTGGCCGGGGTTCCTATTTTATTTTTTTATTATACGTACTTTAAGTTCTGGGGTACATGTGCAGAACATGGAGGTTTGTTATATAGTTATTCACTTGCCATGGTGGTTTGCTGCATCCATCACCCCATCATCTACATTAGGTGTTTCTCCTAATGCTAGCTCTCCCCTAACCCTCTACCCGCCGACAGGCCCATGTGTGATGTTCCCCTCCCTCTGTCCATGTGTTCTCATTGTTCAGCTCCCACTTATGAGTGAGAACATGTGGTGTTTGGTTTTCCGTTCTTGTATTAGTTTAGTGAGAATGATGGTTTCCATCTTCATCTATGTCCCAGCAAAGGACGTGAACTCATCCTTTTTTATGGCTGCATAGTATTCCATGGTGTATATGTGTCACATTTTCTTTATCCAGTCTATCATTGATGGGCATTTGGGTTGGTTCCAAGTCTTTGCTATTGCGAACAGTGCTGCAATAAACATATGTGTGCATGTGTCTTTATCACTGAATGATTTATACTCCTTTAGGTATATACCCAGTAATGGGATTGCTGGGTCAAATGGTATTTCTAGTTCTAGATCCTTGATGGAACCTAAGGGGTCCTCATTTATGAAGTTCAAATATCTCACAATCATCTCAAACCTCTAAGATAATCTAATTTTTATGATGTCTAAATATTTTTCATAAATCTCATTTTTTAATGATAAAACTGAGTATAATAGATGCTAATGTTGTATAGGGAGAATATAGTTTACCAGTGACTCGTCCCACTAATTACTAACTTGAATATGAAAACTTAGCCCCCTTTACCCACCATAGGTGTACACTGGGGTACAATTGATATGACCCTAAATATGCAAAAAGGTGGAAGATTGTCTCCAGATACAACAACAGGCTCACTTAAACCCTTTTCTTGGCAGGGCACAGTGACTTACACCTCTAATCCCAGATCTTTGGGAGACCATGGCAGGAGGATCACTTGAGCCTAGGTTTTGAGTCTAGCCTGACCAACATAGCCAGACCCCATCTCTACACCACACACCACACTGGGCATGGTGGTGCATGCCTGGAGTCCTAGCTTCCTAGGAGGCTGAGGTAGGAGGGCACCTGGAGTTTGAGCCCTGGAGTCCTGGAGTCTAAGTCTGTAGGGAGCTATGATCACGCCATTGCATTCCAGCCTAGGCGATAAAGCAAGACTCTGTCTGTGAAAAAAATTCCATCCCTATTAATGATACAAAAATTAGCCAGGCATGGTGGCAGGCGCCTGTAATGCCAGGTACCTAGGAGGCTGAAGCAGGAGAATGGATTGAACCTAGGAGGCGGAGGCTGCGGTGCTCCAAGTTTGCGCCATTGCACTCCAGCCTGGCTAATAGAGCAAGACTTAGTCAAGAAAGAAGAGAAGAGAGTGAGCTAAAAAAAAATAATTAATTAATTAATTAATAGAAAGAAAAGAAAAGAAAGAGTCAGATGGTTGGATGCAGTGGCTCACACTTGTAATCCCAGCAGTTTGAAAGGCCAAGGCGGGCAGATCACTTGAAGCCAGGAGTTGGAGAACAGCCTGGCCAACATAGTGAAACCCCATCTCTACTAAGAATACAAAAATTAGCTGGGTGTAGTGGTACATGCCTGTAGTCCCAGCTACTCAGGAGGCTGAGGCAGGAGAATCACTAGAACCTAGGAGGTTGAGGTTGCAGTGAGCCAAGACCATGCCATAGCACTCCAGCCTGGGTGACAGAGTGAGACTCTGTTAAAAGAAAAAGAAAAGAAAAGAAAGAAAAGGAAGGAAGGAAGGAAGGAAGGAAGAAAGAAAGAAAGAAGAAAGAAAGAAAGAAAGAAAGAAAGAAAGAAAGAAAGAAAGAAAGAAAGAAAGAAAGAAAGAAAGAAAGAAAGAAAGAAAGAGTCCGGCATTCTAGCTCACCAGGAATCCTGTCACTTTGACTTACTCTAGAAACCTGAATCCAAGGCAAATGGCACACCACAGAAGAGAAGGCATCCTCCCCATGAACTTCCTCAAGATTCCCTTCATGTCCTTATTCCTCAGACTATAGATAAAGGGGTTCACCATTTGAGGACCCACAGAATACATCATTGAAGCCACTGCAGTCTTCCTAGGTGAGTCAGTAACTGCAGAACTAATGTACACCCCCAAACCTGTCCTATAGAACAAGAGCACCATGGAGAGGTGAGACCCACAGGTGGAAAAGGCTTTATACTTTCTGCGTGCTGATGGCATTCTCAAAATAGAGGAGGCAATCTGAGCATAAGAGAATATGATTCCAGACAGAGGAACACCACCAAATATGCAAGCTGCAAAATATATCAGGATGTTATTGATGAGGGTGTCAGAACAAGCAAGCTGGATGACCTGAGCCAGTTCACAGAAGAAGAGCGGGATTTCCAGATCTGTGCAGAAGGACAGCCTCAACACCATCAGGCTGAGAAGAAGGGCATTCACAACGCTAGTCAACGGAGAGAGAAGAATCAGCAGGCTGCAGAGGCAGGGGTTCATGATGACCATGTATCTAAGGGGGTGACAAATGGCCACATAGCGGTCGTAGGCCATTGCTGCAAGAAGACAGTTTTCCAAGCCAGCAAAAAGCAGGACAAAGCAGATCTGGGTGAGGCAGCCTGTGTAAGTGATACTCTGATTCTGAGCTTGGATGTTCACCAGCATCTTTGGGATGGTGGTTGTGCTTAAACAAATGTCAGAAAAGGAGAGATTGGAAAGGAAGAAGTACATGGGGGTGTGGAGATGGGAGTCAGAGATGACAGCCAGGAGGATGAGCAGGTTCCCCAGGATGGTGACTAGGTACCTGGACAGGAACAGGCTGAAGAGGACGGGCTGCAGTTCTGGATCCTCTGTTAGTCCCAGGAGAAGGAATTCTGAAACAGATGTTTGGTTTCTAGCTTCCATGCTGTTGATGATGAATCTGATGGACAAGATAATAAAATGTGAGAAGCAGCAGTTTCAGTGGCATCACTGGGGAACATGACAGAAATGCAAAATCTTTTTTTATTTTTTTCTCTGAGATAGGGTCTTGCTCCGTTGCCAGGGTGGAGTGCAGTGCCACCATCTCAGCTGATTGCAACCTCCGCTTCCTGGATTCAAGTGATTCTCCTGCCTCAGTCTCCTGAGTAGCTTGGATTGCAGGTGTGCACCACCACACCTTGCTAATTTTTGTATTTTTAGTAGGGATGGATTTCACTATGTTGGCTGATCTTGAACTCCTGACCTTGTGATCCACCTGCCTCAGGTGGAGGTCAGGGATTCAAGACCAGCCTGGCCAACATGGCAAAACGCTGTCTCTACTAAAAATACAAAAATTAGCCAGGCTTGGTGGTGTACACCTATAATCCCAGCTACTCGGGAGGCTAAGGCAGGAGAATCGCTTGAACCCAGGAGGTGGAGGTTGCAGTGAGCCGAAATCACACCACTGCACTCCAGCCTGGGTGACAGAGCCAGATTCCATCTCAAAAAACAAAACAAAAATATAAAAATTAGCCAGGCATGGTGGTACACACCTGTAATCCCAGCTACTTGGGAGGTTGAGGCAGGAGAATCACTTGAACCCAAGAGGCAGAGGTTGCAGTGAGCCAAGACTGTACCACTGCATTCCACCCTGGGTGACAAGAGTGAAACTCTTGTCTCAAAAAAAAAAAAAAAAAAAAAAGTCGTACATATACACCATGCCTTGGAATACTAGACAGCCATAAAAAATGAGATCATGTCCTTTGCAGAAACATGGATGGAGCCGGAGGCCATTATCCTAAGTAAACTAAGGCAGGAACAGAAAAACCAAATGCTTCATTTTCTCACTTATGTGTGGGAGCTAAATACTGATTTCACATAGACACAAGGGAGTGAACAACAGACACTGGCACCTACTTGAGGGTGGAGATATGAAAACTACCTATGAGGTACTATGCTTTTGTTGTTGTTGTGGTGGTGGTGGTGGTGGGGTGTGTGTGTGTGTGTGTGTGTGTGTGTGTGTGTGTGTGTGTGTGTGTGTGTTTAGATGAAGTTTCACTCTGTCACCTGGGTGGGAGTGCAGTGGAGCCATCTCTGCTCACTGCAACCTCCATCTCGTGGGTTCAAGCAATTCTCCTGCCTCAGCCTCCCAAGTAGTTGGGATTACAGGCACCTACTGCTATGCCCAGCTAATTTTTTGTATTTTTAGTAGAGACAGGGTTTCTCCATGTTGGCCAGGCTGGTCTTGAACTCCTGACCTCATGATTTGCCCGCCTCGGCCTCCCAAAGTGCTGGGATTACAGGTGTGAGCTGCCACGCCCAGCTGATATTTGTATTTTTTAGTAGAGATGGGGTTTCACCATGTTGGCCAGGCTGGATGTAACTTTTCAATCAGAATTATTCCATGCCTTCAAATAAACCAAAAGATGAGAATGAAGTCCTGCAATCTGTCTTCTAGAGCAATGGTTCCCAAACTTTGACGTGCCTTAGAATCATCTGAAGAGCTTGTCAAAGGGCAGATGCATCGTTTGATACTATCACTCCCTTTTACCCATAAGGACACTTTGGTAAGGTGAGGTTACATCATAGATATGAAATACTGAAATACGCAGTTAGTGGTTGGCAAAGACTGGGTATCAGCTCAGATCTTTTTTTCTGTTAAGACAGAGTCTTGCTGTCACCCGGGCTGGAGTGCAGAAGCGTGATCTCACCTCACTGAAACCTCCACCTCCCAGGTTCAAGCCATCCTCATGTCTCAGTCTCCTAAGTAGCTAAGATTAGAGGCGTGTGCCCACCACCACACCTGGCTAATTTTTGTATTTTTAGTAGAGACAGGATTTCAACATGTTGGTTAAGCTGGTCTCAACTCCTGGCCTCAAGTGATCCACTCATGTTGGCCTGCCAAAGTGCTGAGATTGATCACAGGCTTGAGCCACCGTGACCAGCCTCAGATCTTCTGACTGTTTATTAGAGTCAAGGTCTCATTCTGTCACTCAGGCTGGAGTGCAGTGGTGTGATCACAGTTCACTGCAAACGTGAACTTCTAGGCTCAAGCTGTCTTCCCACCTCAGCTTCCCAATTAGCTGGAACTACAGGCATGCACTACCATGCCTGGTTAATTTTTAACATTTTTTGCTGTTGTTGTTGAGATGGGGTCTTGCTATGTTGCCTAAGCTGACCTTGAACTCCTGGCCTTGAGTGGTCTTCCTGACTTATCCTGACTCAGCCTCTCAAAATCCTGAGATAACAGGCATGAACCACCGCACCTGGCCAGAACTAGTAATTCTTTCTTTCTTTTTTTTTTTTCCTCTGAGACAATTATTCAAAGTGATGTGTTCAAAACCAAACTATATTTTAAATATATTAATTTTAATTATTTAAGTAACACATTAAATGCATCGGCCTTGTTAGAATTAGCACGTGATATCGGTCTGTCCCTTTTACTGTGACTGCCATCTTAGTCCTCTTCATCCTTTTCCGGAAGTGACTACAGAGCCTGTAATCCCAGCCCTTTGGGAGGCAAAGACAGGTGGATTACTTGAGGTCAGGAGTTAGAGACCAGCCTGACAAACATGGTGAAACCCCGTCTCTACTAAAAATTCAAAAATTAGCTGGGCATGGTGGCACGCACCTATAATCCCAGCTACTGAGAAGGCTGAGTCAGGAGAATCTCTTGAACCCAGGAAAAGATTGCAGCGAGCCAAGATCGTATCGATGCACTCCAGGCTGTGTGACAGAGTGAGATTCCATTTCAAAAAAAAAAAAAAAAAAATGTAGCGTGTTTTTTTTGTTGTTGTTGTTTGTTTGCTTTTTTTTTGAGATGGAGTTTCGCTCTTGTTACCCAGGCTGGAGTGCAATGGCGCGATCTCGGCTCACCGCAACCTCCGCCTCCTGGGTTCAGGCAATTCTCCTGTCTCAGCCTCCTGAGTAGCTGGGATTACAGGCACGTGCCACCATGCCCAGCTAATTTTTGTATTTTTAGTAGAGACAGGGTTTCACCACATTGACCGGGATGGTCTCGATCTCTTGACCTCATGATCCACCCGCCTCGGCCTCCCAAAGTGCTGGGATTACAGGCGTGAGCCACCGCGCCCAGCCTTAGCGTGTTTTTTTAACAACTGATATACTATTCACAAAAAAAAAAGGAAAGAGAAAGAGAAAAAGAAAGGGAAAAAGAGATAAAGGGAGGAAGAAAGCAAGAAAATTTTTGTATGATAAACAGTGTACAGTATGAGAAAATTCTCAGTATTTTTGAATCTGCACAGGTATGTTCATTTTTATTATAGATTATTCATGTGGGGATTACTGAGAAAGTACAGAGACTAATGAAGAGCTGGCTACCCATCAGCCAACAATATAAAATTCACATAATTCACCATCCTTGCTTTAGGTCTTTTTATTGCAATAAGTAATAAATATTTGTATTGCAATAAAGTGTGTATTTAAGCCTGGGCATGGTGACTCACACCTATAATCTGAGCACTTTGGGAGGCTGAGGCAGGTGGATCACCTGACGTCAGGTGTTCAAAACCAGCCTGACCAATATCGCGAAACCCCATCTCTCCTAAAAATACAAAAAAAAAAAAAAAAATTTTAGCCAGGTGGGGTGGTGTGTGGCTGTAATCACAGATACTCAGGAGGCTGAGATAGGAGAATAGCTTGAACCCAGGAGGTAGAGGTGGAGGTTGCAGTGAGCTGAGATTGCACCACTGCACTCCAAGCTGGGCAACAAAGTGAGACTCCATCTCAAAAAGAAAAAAAAAAAAAAGGGTGTATTTGAAAACCCTTACTTCATGTACATGCACAATCTTGATTTTTTTCCTTCCCAAGGGGAACCAGTACACATACTTTATCTATATTATTCTCCCATACCTTTCATTGCATTTGGTATTACTCTTCCAAATAATAATAACTGCATTGCGTTGCATTTTAAAAGCTTTATATATCCAGGCACTGTGGCTCACATCTGTAATCCCAGTCCTTTGGGAGGCTGAGGTGGGAGTACAGAGGCCTGGAGTATAAGACCAGCCTGGGCAACATAGTGACAACCCATGTCTACCAAAAATTTTTGAAATGGCCGGGCATGGTGGCTCATGTCTATAATCCCAGCACTTTGGGAGGCCAAGGCGGGCAGCTCACCTGAGGTTGGGAGTTTGAGACCAGCCTGACCAACATGAAGAAGCCCTGTCTCTACTAAAAATACAAACCGAGCCAGATGTAGTGGCACATTGCCTATAATCCCAGCTACCTGGGGGGCTGAGGCAGGAGAATTGCTTGAACCCAGGAGACGGAGGTTTCAATGAGTCGAGAGCATGCCATTGCACTCCAGCCTGGGCAACAAGAGTGAAACTCCATCTTAAATAAATAAATTAATAAATAAAAATTTGGAAATGGCATGTACCTGTAGTCCCGACTATTCAGGAGGCTGAGGCCGGAGGATTGCTTGATCCCAGGAATTCGAGACTGCAGTGAGCTATGATCGAGTCACCATACTCCTATGAGGCAACAGAGTGAGAATTTGTCTCCAAAAAAACAAAACCACCTGCCCTCATTTCCAAAGTCTTAATTAACTCAAGGGCATTAAAGTTATCTGATTGGCTTCCACGAGAATGGTACTCAACCTCTTAAGTGGATAATGCAGAGAATGATCTATGCTCAGGAAGTGCAGACAGACTAGAGTCCTAGTCCAAAAGGATCATCCCTACAAGGAGACTGCGATGCAGCTACCTAGCTGGGTGAGAGATGTTCAGTGAGATGGTTACAGGCTGACTTGCTGAAGTATCTTACATCCCTGGGACCTCAATCTCCACCGCTCCTCATTACCCTGGCTATTTTACCTTCGTTCTGATCCCAGGAGTGCACATCCTTAAAGACCAAGATGAGAGAAGTGAGGAATTCCGGATGACCAAGTCCCTGTCCCTGGAGGCCAGGTGTACACCATCCGC